ATGTCTGTTCGGCGCATGGAGGCACGCAGCTCTTCCAGTTCGTCTTGCCGGACCCGCGACACTCCTCTTCGTGCTTCAGCGGTGCGCTGCCTACCCCACTGAAGGTGTTYCTCTTCTTCAGCAATCCGTTGTCTCTCCCAGCGGAGGCGTTCTTCCTCCTCGCCGAGCTCGAAGGCGTACTGCTCGTCTTCGGGGTAATAGGTTTGCCTTGCAGTTCTTCGTCCTTGTTCGTTGGGATCGTCAGAGTCGTCCTCGTCGCCTCCATCTTCGAGATCGACCATTGGTGCAGGCTTACTAGCTGATGCCGAGCCACCTTGTGGTGCTGATTTGCCGGCCGAAGCTGATCCGCCAGGTAGTATAGGGCCTTTCGCCGAAKCCAAACCTTCAGCTATAGATTTTCCCTTATTGATGTCTCGTCCACCACTTCCGGGAGTCGGTTCGGTGTTGAGGTCGATCGGACGACGCCGACGAAGCCGCTGGGCCTCCGAAGGTGTAGAGAAGTTGAGCGCTGTTGGAGCGATACGGTCCACGACGTRGGGTGTAAACCTCGCTGTTTTCCCGTGGCTTGCCGCGGTTAAAGAATCCATCCGTTTCTTCATTGTGCTGTTAAAGCTGTCCTGCTCCGTTGTYCTCTTCAGGATCTCCGAGAACATGCCCTTTATCTGCKCGATCTCCGCCGCGAGCTGCAACGGGTTTTCCGTAGTTTTGTCCCCTGCGGTGTTGTCTTCTGCGGGCGCGTTCTCTTTTGTTTGCGGATTGGCGATGTCTTTGGGAACGTTCGCGTTTATCTCTAGATCCTTTGCCGCTGATCCGTCTCCCCCGATTTGCTGCTGATTGCTGTTTCCGTCGATGGTCATCTCTTCCGATCTCAGCGTGGTAGTGCTTGTTSAGTAAAAAGCTTTACTGTCCCCTTAGATGGCTCCAAATTGTGGCGGTCGAATCTCACAATTAGAATCTAAGTGATTCTTTAGGGTTTGTAAAGTTCTGTCGAAAGCAAGCAAACACAAAGATCTCAAGAGAGTTTTTATTAGCTGTGAAGAAAGCTGTTACAAGAGTTTTTGCTTATGAATTCTCTCCCCCTTTTTGGTGAGAATGAAGAGCTATATATAGTAAAAACATCTAAAATGGGTCAGCCAATAAAGTGGACCTGGCCCATTAAACAATAAATCTAATTTAGGCCCATTATTCTATTAAGCCCATTTTGCTCATGGGTTTAATGTCATTTTGGGCCCAGATTCAGGCTGAGCCTTCGTAGATTCGTCGTGATTTCGTCAGGATATTGCGGAGTTGATCTCGTCACTATATCGATCTCACAAGGGTGAAATATGACCCCTACACTCAGTATACTATATCCAGTTGGACCAAACTGAAACACCATTGTATGTATATAACCATTACACAACAAAGTTTCCCAGAGGGTTAAGCATATAAAGATTTGGCTTTTACCTTGTCTCGAGTCTGGTATAACATAGGCTTTATCGTGTTCATTCAAATACAAAAAGTGGGTTTTGTTGTTTTTTTCCCAAGTCTGATACTAATCATATGATCTTATTCGAACCTCATAAAAATCCCCACAAACTAAGTAATGAAAAAACTCACTCAAGGGACAAGCTTGAATATTCACTAAATCCTTTACACAACTTTCTTACACCTAAAACAAAGAGCACTACCACAACAAACGTGCTTTCGGGTTACCTATGAGCCGTTGGTGTTCGCGGCATTGTGTATGGCATTTGACCCATGTTTATTGGTGCACCGGGAACCACTGAGCCAGGGACTGGAGCAGCATGTACTCCATAAGCCATGTGAGGTGGAGCTGGGAGGTTCACTGGTGTTCCAACTGCTGAGACCAATGCTCCACCTACTGGTTGACCTATGGTGGGTGTTCCATACATGGGAGGTCCCGGTGGTGGTTGAGAAGTAGCTTGCTTGGCTGATTTGTTTCCTCCTCCAGCACCGCCTCCAGCAACAGCAGCAGAACCGGTGTTGTTGTTGTTCTGCCCAGTGATTGGTCCTTGTGGTGTTGAGGCATCTGCGTTGCCAACACTAGTGATGTCGTGAATGCTTGATCGTCTTCTGTCTTTGTTCATCGAGTTTTGACGAATGAAATACTTTTGAGCATGGCTCGCGACTTGGGTCGGCGTTCTTGTTACCACAAAGTTACGAGAAATGCTACGCCAATCACCTTTCCCATATTTATCCAAACCAAGAAGAAATAACCTGTAACATAGAAATGACAAAGACAATAGTTCATCAGAAATCAGAATCATTGCATAAACGAAAGGGAAGAATTTTCCGGGACATTGCATCAAACATGAAGACACGCACAATCCTGCTAAACGAAACCAGTCTAAAACCACTAGCAAGAAACAAAGTTTGTCGAGCATTTGCCACTGACAGCTAATCTGCGGATTTCAAGAATGCCCCAGTAGCATACAGAATTGAAAATCTTACTTCTCAGTTGCTTCTCCAGCACTTTCAAATTTAAATTTCCTGAGTAAGCACTGAAGACATTTCTAGACACCAGAATAGAGTGTTGAATATGAAACTCGTGATTCTTCTCCTACCTTTCCTAGTAAATAACTAACTGTGTTTTTTCTAATTTCACTAGGAGAATCTATCCCCGCCAAAATTCAATTTGTCGAAAACGCACATGTAAAACCACCAAACAAATCAAGATAACAAGGGATTAGATCGAGATAATGGCACAAACATAAGTTTCCAAGAATTTGTCAAGCAAAACATACAAATAAGAAAGATAGACTACACTATTACATCAATTTCCCATCTTTTAGCAAATGAAAATCCGGTCCAGTAATTAATTCTTGCCACTTCTCTTACATATATATACTCCATTTTAATTCTACGCTTATCTACCATTTCATATCCCAAAACCACTTGCACCTTCAAGAGAGTAAAATGAAGACTAAACTTTAAAGCAAGATTTTCTTGTTCCTTTTCTAAAAGGAAAGTGGGGTTCTCCAATAACAGAGGTAGGCAGACTAACTATCCCTTTCTCAAGGTTTCAGCATGATAAACAGCATCTACCTTCAACAAGTGGTGGAAAAGACGGTCAAAATGGTCCCGGGGGTTAGATAGCATCTCCCCATCATCTCTAACATGGTGGATGTAATGATATAGCAGCTAGGACAGGGAGGTAAAGAGAATTTATGAGAACAGCTTTCTCTGTCTCATGCCAAGTTATAATTTCAATAAAATCTGCGCCTTTTTTGAAACATATCACGAAGACACAAAGATTAAACCTTTATAAGAAATTTCTATTTTTCCTTCTAACCATTGTCCGGAGTTACCTCAGGTCAATCCCCCTAAAATTAAACTCAGTCCTTCCACTTTCCCTTATGGTCTCAAATAGGGAGACCAATAACCTAAGAGTTTCAGTTAAGGTCTTGCTTCTAAGCAAGATATGACTTTGAAAACTCTGAGTTCCCATTCACAATATTTGACATCCAAGAGTACCCTAAATTGTCACCTAGATGACAGAGACACGGAGCATAGAAACAGCAATAAACGTAATTTTGAGTGAATACTAAAGGAACAAGAAGCTCACCTGTGCTCATCTTCTGTCCAGGCAATACCCTTTCGTCGTTCTTGATCTGACTTTGATTTACCTCCTTGGTTAGACTCGCCCGCATGACTGTTTCCCCCTTTCTTACTGCTTCCTCCTTCATCACCAGCATGACCATTTGATCCTTCAGGAGAACCATAAGCAGGAAGAGGCACACATCCTGATTCAATCCTACTAACATCTTCAACTAAAAGCTCGTAATGTTCTTTAATCTGTTCAACGCTTTTTCCTGGAACATCTGCAGCAATCTTCTCCCACCGTTCCTCTGATTCATCAGTATAATTCGCAAGAGCTCTCTCAAACGCAATATCATCCTCCCTACTCCACGCAGAACCATTACTAACTTCCTCCATAGTCATTTCTCCAAATCAAACCCAACCAAAACCCTAATCCCTCTAAAAATCTGTAAAATATCAACCAGATTTCTGCAAAGTTCCTATCTTTAAAGTTCTACAAACTAGAAACTGAGAAACACAGCAAGAACTCAGATCTTCCAAGTATCACTGAACCCAGATAAAACTACCCTGATATTCCAAAATCAAAATCCAACCGTACAAGAAGACTAAAAAGGATTCAAGAGAAAATCTCGGAGATTTATATAGGAAGACGAATCGAAAAGGGATTTACAAAATCAAATTCCCTAAAAATAAGGGCAAACAAAACCCTTTCAGATATAGTCTACTAAGGAACTAAGATGCAAGAACAAATGACAAGTACCCAAGAGAGGATTTTTATCTTATCGTTACGAGATAGAAGCACGAAGAAGCCAAAGCAACATGGAGATTGAAACCCAGAAAAAAATGAAACTTTGTGAAAGAAAATTAGGGGTTTTTGGAAGGTTTTCTAGGGATTGCGAGGACTAGATG